ACCGTAACCGTTAGATTATAACAGTTTCAGTTTGATTGGTTTTCCTCCATGTCGGTTCGGTTTCCGTCGGTTAGCATGGTTCCAATATGTAATTTGGTTATTTTGGTTTTTCAACCAAAACCAACTAAACCGACCTGATGCTCACCATTGTTGTCAAGTCGTCATCTAGTCGACGACTAGTCAAAGGCATTTTCTGAATGGCGACTTGCATGTCGACTAGCAACTAGGGTAGACTAGGCAACTGGGCGAGTTAAGTGATGCCTAAGCAACGTGTAGTCTGTGAAGAAAACCTTCCCAATTTGATCTAGTGAATCGACATTTAACCCTTCCCAAATCGCGACATCTCCTTCATCGACATCTTCCAGAGTTCCAATACTTCCTGGATGAATTTTTTGGAATTGATTCTTCTTCATCTTCTAGGATTCAAACGCTCTTTATCCATGAGTAAGATCTCTGTATCTTTAATTATTTTTCACTCGAGTAAACTCTTAATTTGATTTGATTTTCTTTAATTTGATTCATTAAACTAATAAAGTATATTATACTCTTAATTTTTCAGTTTTCTTAAGTTTTACCAATTTTACAGTGACTTTATGTGATACCTTTAAACATAATTTTGTTTTGGTAATGATATTTTGTCATATACATATATATAGTTATTTTGGGTGAATGAAGATATATACATGTTAAAAGTTTCAATACTAATTGTGATTTGTCAACTAGTAGGCCGACTAGTTTACGACTAGTAGGCCGACTAGTCAACGAGTCCATTAGTCTCCCCTTCACCAACTCTACTTGACTTGTCGACTTAACAGGCATGATGCTCACCCCTAAATCTTGACCAACTATTCAGTAACAAAGATAAAAGAAGCAAAGCTTGTACCTCATCATCAAATCTGATATCAACTTATAGCAAACGGGATATAATGGTATTGAAAACATTAATGTGAATAGTAACAGAACCACCTTCCCGCATATATGTGTTACTAACTGTCTAATCAAGAATACCATATTAGACGCGAAAGGTTTCTCATACTTGTTTGACAACGTTGTCATAACCCCACGAGTAGTAGTCTCTTTCACGATGTTGAAGGCCACACTCTTTGTCAAAATGCACCTAATGACTGCTAGGGCGTTTCTATCCAAGTCAGCCCATTCTTCATCCTTCATCTTCTCGGGTTTCCGACCTGTCAAACATGGAAGATGATCTTTCTAACATAGGAAGTCCCCGACTTGCATCTTCCACCATCCAAAATCTTGCCCATCAAACTTCTATCCAGATCTTTCCGTCCTTGTGTCTCTTATGAGTACCCAAAATCTGACCAGAGAACACGTGAGGGCAAATTGAAACAAACAACCAGGACTGACCTCGAAAATTACAGCAGCAAACTGAACAGCAAGGCTGTTAGGACTGTCAACAGATGACTGTCTCGGTGGTCTTCTGATGCGTCAGAGGAAAACCCTAAAATTGCTATGGTTGGCAGTGGAGGCCGATGTGTTTGTTCGACCTAGGCTCCGATGCCCGTTGTTAGGAACAGAGGCACACACACACACACACGAATAGAAAATAAGAAAGCAATAAAAGAACACAAGAGATTTACGTGGTACCCTCTAATCCGACCTACACACGGGGCAACTAGGGTTTGTATTGAGTGATCATAGTTACAAGTACATCATAGTTACAAGTACAGGAGATCATATATATATAGAGTTATAGACAACTAATTAGGGTTTAACCCTTGCTGAACAAGTTATAGCAAACTGGGCTTAAAACCATTATGACCCGCTGAACCCTAATCTTGTCTCCTCCAAATTTTCGATTGTCTACAAGTGTGGGCCAAGTTGGGCCGATGACTACAAATCACCAACTATCATTTGTAAACCATTGTCGCTCAAAAGGTTAAAAACGATTATACAAGATAGAAGGTACAGGATTACCTGGTGTCGCAATGAAAATTAAAACGAAACAAGTTAGGAAACTCAACTACAGTCTTCATGATTTGACACTTAACAATTTTTATCCTAAAGACAATATCCCTGGATTACCTGGTGTCGCAATGAAAATTAAAACGAAACAAGTTAGGAAACTCAACTACAGTGTTCATGATTTGACACTTGACAATTTTTATCCTAAAGACAATATCCCTATGCTCAAAATACATTCCAAAATGAAAATTTTACACTCTTCTCTCCCCAAGTTAGTATTTTAGGAGTAGCATTTGCAGAATGCAACTATAATACAATTTATGCTGACATTATGTTAACCACTCATCCCTTTGGTTTGTCATTGCAGTGAAGGAAAAAGTTGGCACTCATCACTATGGTTTGTCATTTCCCCTTGGGAAGGATTTTGTTTATCTATGTCTCAATTAAAAAACAATCTTATATTTCTACATCCACGCTGCATCATCATATTCCCCCTCATTCTCATGTCTTGGAATTACTAGGGAGACTTAAACATTAACCATTGTCATCAACAACCTTTTGAAATCTAATGAGCCCATTTATGGAAAAGCCAGCCAACGTTTTATATTCATAATAGGAAATTTTTTAAAAAAACATAGGTTACTCCACTCACCCCTACAAAAAACTTTTGAAAATTTAATCGCGGCATACATCAAAAAGCAGCAGATTTTTATTGAAAAAAGAAAATCAAAACAAAAATGAATGTTACTTCACTCACCCTACACCCCTACAAAAGAAATTTGTGGATTACAGATTTCAGGAGTTAGACTTTTCAATATTGGGTTTAGAGTTTAGACTTTAGAGAGAAAGACATGTTGAGATGTTGTAATACAATCTTACATTCTTAATTTTAAGAGGGACATGAAAGAAAGTATGAAATTAGCAAGTCAAAGAAGGGTAAGCCCATTTCAAATGATCAGTCATCTTTCAAACCCTCTAAGTTAGATTTCAGAACCCCACTTGACCAAATGTTTTCTCCAACCAAATTCATCCCTTTGTCCCTTCAGGGATCCTGAGAAACCTGTCATCTAAATGGATTAAGAAACATATCAAACACTATGAGGGGACCAAAAATTGGGTGTGGGTGTTAACTGTTAAGAATATGGTTAGGCTAAATTCAACCCTGTAAGAGTTCTCAAGAAATGATGACTGTCCATCGCTTATAAGAGGCTTATTTTATCATATTTAACTGCTGTGGAAACACTTCAGCACAAGTCTTTAGAAGAACATGGCATGTGGAACATTTTCTAAGGGACGAAAGGTATTGAGCTTTACTTAGCCAACTCGCGACATGTTTGATCTTGATAAGTCGATCAATGTCATGTTATCATAAAGGAAGAGGCGAAAATCGCTAAATGTGTACCTCATTGAAATAGCGTAAAAGTAGATTTTTGGTGACCCTTCCAATTCCAGAGCCACAATCTGTAGAATTGTAAAGTTTTGTAAGGTTAAGAAACAAACATAGGTTTTAACAAAGTTACCTTCTTTTTGGAATTTAAAATTATCCGTTCTGAATTTACAATTATTGCCTTTTATCGGTTCAGCGCTCTAGCACGATAAAATGATAGTTGACCCCCCTACATCTGTATAACTTATTCAAGAATGCTTCTGGAAAGTTATTTGTTGACAGTAAAATCAGTACCGGTACCAGATTACTCATCATTAACCATACACAGATTTGACAAACCTATTATAGAGTACTATGTATGAATATACAGAGTAGATAATTAAATAGTCAGCAAAAGCCAAAAACTACCCAGAGCTACGAGGTGGGAAGACGGTCTTGAGACGTCCCTCAGGGTTGGGAACCTTTCAGAAAAAATGGAATTGAGAAATGCATGGCTTGCAGCTATGTCGGCATCATTCACATCCGCATAACCGCCCAGCACTCCATCAATGGTGGCTTCAACCTTCTGCTAATTATCAGTAAACATTATAGTGAAATTTGCGAGCAAATTTAAGGAGCATATAGATAGAGAGGGAGAAGTGGAGAGAGAATTGCCTCCCAATAACGAATCGCGGAGCCGTACCACTGGGACTTGCTTCCATCCTCTCCTGTCTCTACTCTCCACATTTCATCTGCATTTCTAAACTCGCGCCCCTCCAAGTCATGCCCGCCGACATCCATGAGGTAGCGATATATGTTCTTGTCTTTACAACGATTCGGTCTCTCCCTATTTCTGCTTCCTTCCTAGCAGACGGCAAGAGTTGCCGCCATCTGTGTAAATCAGACTCCAAGGCGAGGTGAAAGAAATGCGGCAGGGCAAACCCATCCTGCAGCTGGAAGGTATTTGGTACAGCCTAGAAGAACGAACACAGATTAGATTGAGGCGCCTCAGCTCTACTTGCATAAAATGAAGAGGGAAATGACAGAAAGGCCCTTCCAACCAAGAAACAAAACGTCACTGTTTATTATCGTTACTTCAAAAATTAAACGGAAATATTAAAATTAACGACCAGTCGTTAGGTTGCCTTCAAAGCGTCACGGTGATTTTCGGAAAGGCCAAACGGCGTCGTTTGAAGCGCCAACCCCTCTTAATCCCCCGACCAGTCTTCGAAAACGATACGCCTTCATCAATCGAAACTCTTCTGCTCTTTGTTCTCCATTGCATACCGTCGTCGGATACCTTCAAGAACTACCACACATCTGTTTGTCATGGAGAACACCGGAGCAAGTAGCGGGTTCCAGTACAAGAAAAGAAGAATTCTAACCCAAACACGAAGGGAGGAGATGGAGAATGAAATCCAGGTATTTTCAAATAATCCTCACTTAAAATTAACTAATTTTGGTTTTATTTTGAAATATTTGGGATTGGTGTCAGATTTCTGCTAAGGTAACTCCATCTGTGGAGGGTCAATCGTTCCTAGATGCTTCGGAATTTGAGGTGCATTGCATGTACACTAAAATATACGGAGTAACATTTAAAGTTTATTTTGTTTGTTTTTGAAACATTCGGAAATAGAATAAGTTATTCGACCATGGAAATAATCAATATAATGTTATAGTAATTGGTTACAGTCGATTGCAGTCGAATCTATTTTTTGATTAGTTCTTGATTTTAATTCTAGGTTCCAGCGTTGGATTGCACCATTGATATTGATAAAATACCTGGAATGAAGTTAACCCTGAAATCTTCTTTGGGGAGTTCCAGAATCTGATGGGCGGAGGACTTGGAGATCATCTAGAAGTCCTTGATTTGTTTAGGGAGAACACCCCTTTTTCTCATTTTTTGGATGTTGAGTGTATTCCTCCTCCTCTCTTCCTATGGCAACTCATTGCGAGGGAAGCCAAAATAAAGAGGAAATGAGAGATGTGGTTCGTTGTCAAAGGAGTTCCTGTCAGGTACTCCTTAAGGGAGTTTTCACTCATTAGCAGCCTCAACTGCTCTCACCTTAACGCCGGCTTTGAAAATTCTAAGGAATTAACCTATGCAAAGAATGATTTCATTCGAGCTCACTTTCCTTCTCCAAAGAAGGGAAAGAAATCTGTTGCAGTCACATACAAGATGGTGGTGCAGCGTTTCCTGGACATTTGTAAAGGATTGGACATGGAAAAGAAGAAAGAAGGCCAGGAGATGGATGCTGTGAAAATGGAAACACTATTGTTTGTTGTTGTTGTTCTCTTGGGTCCTGCTGATCAAGACAAGTCTGCAATTCCAGATTGGATTCTGGGCATGATTGCACAGTGGACAGCAGTTCTAGGTTTCCCATGGGGAACCTGGGCATTTATGGAGTCCTTGGGGTCACTGAGGAAAGACCTAGCTGCTAAGGACAAATCAATTGGAAGAGGGGCCTCATCAACCATGTACTATGCTGGTTTCTTGCTTCCCATTGGGGTAAGGATTTTTTCAATTACAATATTTCTTATAATTTTTATTGAAATGTGATCTCATTGAAACTTTCAATATGAAAATATCCTTTTTCTGGAGAGTTGCTTGGGGACTGGAACAAATATTACAACAAGAAGCCCACAGACATCCCCAGCTAGGCCAAGAATCTGCCTTTGGGGTGAGATTCCAATAAAGAAGAAAATCACCCACACAGAAATGGACGCTTACGTTGGGGACATGTAGGTATATACATATTATTGGTCAATAAAGATTAAAAATTTAAGGAATTCCAAAAATAAAGTGTCATTGTTTTGGTTGCATGCTCTACAGAGCATTCTTGTTCCCGACAAGTTTGAGGCAACTGTAGAGTGGTATTTGAACTTCCATCCTCTAGAGCCCTGAGTTGGATGCATTTGTGGCAAAATTAAAGGGTAGAGGGGAAGTCCACATTCCGGTGGAGAGGAAGAGAAAAGCCCGGAATGTCCTTTCACCAACAAGAGATAATTCTGAAGAGCGTAATGAGCACATCTCCTCTCCCCAAGAATCTCATAGGAGTCAGAGCCTTAGGGAATCTCCTTCTAGAGTCTCCCATTCCAACATCCCAGATCCATCGTCACCTACCCCTCACCCCACCAAGCCTTCATCCAATTCCTTTCAAGAACTCTTTGATCGAATGTCAAAGAAAATTGATAACATTGCAGAAGAACAAAGAAAGAGGTTTGAAGTGCTTGAAAAAAAGTTGATGCTTTGTCAACTTTAATAAATCAAAAGATTGTAAATAAGGTATGATGAAGCTTCTGAAAGTCATCCAATAATTTTAATTGATCACAACTGATCTATTCTTATGTAAAAATATGAAGGTGAATGTAACTGAATCAGGAGAAGAACCAACCAAGAATCCGCTGGAGGTACATCGAATACCGTCGAATACATACGAAGCAATCGAATGTATACGAAATGTTCGAATATCTCGAATGCAGTCGAAACGTTTTTTTCAGTTTTAAATCTGTAAGATCTGTTAACGTTCAGGTGCCAGAGACGACAATCATGGATGATTGTGAAGAGACTGAGGCACGCAATCCTTCCCCTGATCATAAGGTTTCGGGTTTAATGGAGTCATTTTATTTTGTTTGCATATGTTAAATGAAATCATAAAATCATTTCATACTTCTTTCTCATCATTTTCATACTTCATACTCTATAGGTTTCTCCAAGACTTGGTATTCTCCAAATTGTTGGGGAAATAAATCAAGAGCATGAGAATCAACCTTCAACTCTTTCTGATTCTGTTCTTAGTTTGGAGAACAGAATGGTAAAGTTCTAATATTAACTTACAATGCATTGTCCTTTCGAAAATAGATTCATATTTTTGTTCTTGTCTGCAGGCTGAGTCTACCCACGAGACAATGGGAACAGAAGATGCTGCCTCAATGAAGCCTCTGCAGGAAATGGTAAATTTACAAATCTTACTACAAGTGCCTTCGAATTAGAGTCGAAGTTTTCAAATGTATTCGAATTATCTGTAGGTTGAGTCTAGCTATGAGGTAATGGAATCAGACGCTGTTGCTTCTATGAAACCTCTGCAGGAAGAGGTAAAAATCTAAATTTCATGCATTCGAAATGCAGTTAATATCTTCGAAGTATTTAGAACAAGTTTATTTTCACTCTATTTAATGTAGGTCGTTCAAGAGGAATTGGGAGAGGTGGCTAATATTAATGATGCCCATGTGCATGGAAAGGTTTAGTATCTTTCTGCAAGTGCTTTCGAATTTGGGTCGAAGATTTCGAAATAATTCGAATTCTCTGTAGGTTGAGCCTAGCAATGAGGTCATGGAAACAGACGCTGCTGCTTCTATGAAAACTCTGCAGGACAAGGTAAATTCTGGATGCTTTGCATTCAAAATGCAGTCAATATCTTCGAAGTATTTAGAACATGTTTATTTACACTCTTTTTAACTGTAGGTTGTTTCTCCCCAGAAGGAATTGGGAGATGAGGCTGAAATTACTGATTCCATTGTGTATGGAAAGGTTTGGTTTCTTACTTTAAGTGCTTTCGAATTGGGGTCGAAGATTTCGAAATAATTCACTTATTTTTTTATTTTAGAGATTGAAAAGGAAGTCAGCCAGTTTGAAGTCTCCATATACAGCGGACGGGAGGAAGAAAAAGAAAGCTGATGAGCTCTTATCTAAGCCGCCAACTAAAGGAGATCTTTTGGAATTTAAGAGCTTCATCGTACAAGCAATTAAAGAAGACCGCCCTGTACAATGCTACCTTGAGCAGTACAAGGAGATTCAGGAATTTGTGAAAACCTGGTGGACTGACCTTATCACTCCAGGTCTTTGGGTAACGGATACTATAAGTTGTATTAACCTTTCATTCTTCGTACACAAACAATGCTTATACCTTCGTTTTCTAATAACATACTACTTTTGTTTTTTAACTAGCATCTGAGTGAGTACCTCTACGTCTTGAGAAGACGTTTATGCAATGACGATGGAGACTCTGTCATTGTGCCTTTTGAATTCACAACGTACGTGAACTCTTATGTGCATGACCCACAATGGCCTGTTTTGTCTGGACCCATTGAAAAGATTGTGGATGGTACATACAACAAGGGGCAGGAAGCATTTAAAACCAAAGCCTGGAAAAAGAACACTAAGTACGTATATTATTTGAAAGCCACGGCTTCACATTGGTTCTATGTCAAGGCTGACTTTGAGAGGTGTTGCCTCGTCGTGCTTGACTCCCTTTCAAAGATAACTTCGAATGAGGACATGACTCGTTTGCTGGTAGATGAACTTAGAAAGTTTAAAGGCATTGCTGGAATTACAGAAATCGGCAAGCACGGATATGCCGATTGGGAAATCGAATTATGCCCAGTACCCCAACAGATGTGTGACTGTGGCATCTTCGCGGTAAAAATGTTAGAGTTCGGAGCACAACATCGGGATTTTAAATCTTTGGAGAAGATGACAAAAGAAAAGATGACCAACATGCGTTTAGAAATTGCTTACTACGTATGCAAGGAGTACCATTGTAGAAACAAAAAATAAATTATGTGGTGGATAAATATATTATTAATAAAATTGTGGTGGATACATATGATTTCATGGAATAGCATATATTATTACATATATTATTAACAGTATTATTAATTATGTGGTGGATACATATGATTGCATGGAATTGCATGGAGTTGCATGTAAACACGAGTAACTATTATTACGAGATTACAATCTAAAACTTGTTCATATAAAATTACATAAAAATCCATGAAATTAGCTCGGATCGATCTTTGAGTAATTTATTTTTTATCTCTTCAATATTTCGGGCTCTACACAAGTTGCTGCCCCTGCTAGCATTCCCCTAGATCTGGAGATTGGGTTTGGCTTGCATTTGTAATGTCCATTTGTTCAATCAGACAACACCATGCCTCTGCACTAGCACGCATGCACATTTTGTCATCATGTGCTGCAGCAGCGGAATGCATTATCTGATCGAAAAAACCATTACGACCGTATTATCTGATTGAAAAAACCATTAGGACAGTTAGAGAAAAACAACGTACTTGAAATATCCATTTCTATCAATCAATGAAAGAAAGGTAAGAAATTCTGATGTGGGTAAAGAAACAGGATTGTAGGATATGGAATTCATTGATGAAGAATACTAAGTGTGTAGATAATGAAAACAACGGATATGAAGGATATATGAATTTAAAAAGGAGGGGTAAGTGGAGTACTTATAAAGGTGTTTAAATATGAATGCATTTCGAACTAAATTTAATTCGAGTAGCTCAAGCGGTCAAATCAGCTTTTATTACTCTTGTTGATTTCTAAGAGTTTAGTAGGTTAAATGAGATTTAATTTCGGTCATTAATTTGAAAACTTAAATACTAATGTTATAATAATAATAATAATTTTATAATAATAATAATAATAATAATAATAATAATAATAATAATAATAATAATAATAGAAAGGGTCGTTGAATTAAATAACTTTTCTAAAAAAATTACTTTTATTAAATAATATAATAATAAACAAATATCCAAAAGGAATAATCTTCGACTGTCCCGACTTTTATTTGAATGCATTTTGAATGGACTTTACACAGTTAAAAATTAAAGCGGATGAAGATGTGTGTGAGCGGTTGCATTCAATTCGGGTAGATAAAGAGCGGTCAAATCAGCTTTTATTACTCTCGTTAATTTCTAAGAGCTCAGGAAGTTAAATGAGATATAATTTTGGTCATTAATAATAATAATAATGATAATGATAATGATAATAATAATAATAAGAGGGCCATTGAGATAAACAAATATCCAAAAGGAATAATCTTCGACTGTCCCGACTAATATCTGAATGCATTCCGAATGGACTTTACACAGTAATTAGTTAAAAATTAAAGCGGATGAAGATATGTGTGAGCGGTTGCATTCAATTCAGGTAGATAAAGAGCGGTCAAATCAGCTTTTATTACTCTCGTTAATTTCTAAGAGCTCAGGAAGTTAAATGAGATATAATTTCGGTCATTAATAATAATAATGATAATGATAATGATAATGATAATGATAATAATAGAGAGGGCCGTTGAGATAAACAAATATCCAAAAGGAATGAATAATCTTCGACTGTCCCGACTAATATCTCAATGCATTTCGAATGGACTTTATACAGTAATTAGTTAAAAATTAAAGCGGATGAAGATATGTGTGAGCGGTTGCATTCAATTCGGGTAGATAAAGAGCGGTCACATCAGCTTTTATTACTCTCGTTAATTTCTAAGAGCTCAGGAAGTTAAATGAGATATAATTTCGGTCATTAATAATAATAATGATAATGATAATGATAATAATAATAATAGAGAGGGCCGTTGAGATAAACAAATATCCAAAAGGAATAATCTTCGACTGTCCCGACTAATATATGAATGCATTTCGAATGGACTTTACACAGTAATTAGTTAAAAATTAAAGTGGATGAAGATATGTGTGAGCGGTTGTATTCAATTCGGGTAGATAAAGAGCGGTCAAATCAGCTTTTATTACTCTCGTTAATTTCTAAGAGCTCAGGAAGTTAAATGAGATATAATTTCGGTCATTAATAATAATAATAATAATAATAATGATGATGATAATGATAATAATAGAGAGGGCCATTGAGATAAACAAATATCCAAAAGGAATAATCTTCGACTGTATCTGCAGTAATGGATAAAACGGATAATGGTATATGAGATAACCATTATGACCGTTTTGCCTTATCGAGATAACCATTAGGACCGTTTTACAATCAATGAAAGAAAGGTGAGAAGTTTTGATGATTGTAAAGAAATAGGCTTGTAAAATATGGAATACATTGAAGAAAGTGTGTTTATAATCTGGAGAGGGTGCAATGTATTTATAGGGAGGGGGGCGTATTTGTATGTTTGCATGTATTCGAAGGGTTAAAGTTTTGCATTTATGTGTTTGCATTTAATATACGTGTTTGCATAATATACGTGTGTGCATTTAATTCGCGTAGACGAAGGGTTAAAGTTTTCTTTAATTTTTAAGACTTAACATGTATGAATTGTGTGTGCACGGTTTGCATTTAATTCGCGTAGACGAAGAGTGGTCAATTCAGATTTTATTACTCTCGTTTATTTCTAAAATTTCATTAGCTTAAATTGAATGGAATTTCGTTCATTAAAAAATTACTAAAATCAGAAAAATTGAGGAATAAAATTTCGATCTAAAATCAAAAAAATTGAAGAATAATATTGAGGAAATAATTTCGGAATTTCGATTATTTCGACCACATTTGAAATTTATTCGAATGCATGTTATAAAATAAGAAATTACACAGAATGCGATCAAGCATCTTTAAGAGATTAATTTGAAAACTAAAATCAGCAAAATTCGACCTTCTCGATGACGAGGAGTGATGCTGGCAAAAACTCATTGAAAACAATAGAGAAGGAAGATCGATTGGCGAAGAAAGGCGGTAGATGGGAGGAGAGGCGTCAGATGAAAACCCTAGTCAGGTGGAAGCCGGGAAAGAAAGGTTATTTATGGTATGAGTTTTATTTTATTAGAGAATGAGCATTATATTATTTGAGAATGAGTACTATTTTAACTTAGAATGGACATTACATTATTTGTGGATGAATATTATAATTGTTATGAATAAATGTGTGAACCCTACAAGAAAATCGAAAAATTGCGACGAATATTTGCGACGGGTGTACTTCCGTTGTACACGGTGACCGCATTTACAACAGACATTGTCACTGTAAAAGTCGGCGACAGATTGATAAATCCTCACAAATTTCTAGGCGGGAGACTTGGCGCCAATAAACTAGGACGTCATGTGCGACGGAATGACTAGTTGCAGATTTAATTATTTATTTTATTTTAATTAACTTTGTTTGCGATGGAAAATTACCGTCGCAAAGATAATTTTTTAAAATATCTCATTATCCCTAAACTACATCGTTTTGGTTTATACCCGGGATATTGTTAGGCCATGTGACAGAACTTGCGACGGAAATTTTTCGTCGTAGAGCGATCAATTTTAAAAAAATTCTATCCTCTTCCCCTAAATCTGCACAGCGGGTAGAGATAGAGGCAAAGTGGCGCAGCGAAGAACTAAATAAAAACTTCGTTTTAGACCCAATTTCTTCGATTCCAAGTAATTGTTTTACATTTTTATTGCAATTTACTTGTTTATTTTCATTAAAATATGATTTATTTTAGAAAAATTCATTTTTAGGGTTATGATGTTGTTTTGGATAAGGTTGAGGTGTTTGGAGG